GATGGAACATTTTCATTGGCACTGAAGGAGTGAATAAGATTAGACGTACAATCAAATATATGACATTAGGTCTTTTTCTCTTCTCATTATTTATATTTTCTTTTAAGAAATAGAACAAGAGTAGAAAATTAAAATGTAATATAGCCTGGGGCAACTGCACAAGATAGATACTACAAGGGCAAGATAGTATATATACTAAAAACTTGTTCAACCTCAAACAGCACCTCATGTTTGAAATGGGGGTGTATATTAGGAGATAGGACCAATTTTTGAAAAGACCTGTCCCATATTATTTCTCACAATTAACTTTCATGTTCACTAAATACATTTTCATGTGATGTACAGATGTAGAGGTTGAGAGTGACCCTAAAATGCTTACTAAAAACTTGTAGGCTTCATTCTCTTTCTCTCATAGTGAGAGAGAGGCAGCATCACATGGGAATACCAATCATGAAGGAAGCAAATGAGACAATGGTAGAGGATTTGGTGGAGCCGCATTAATGCACAACTCATTTGTAGGTTTCCTATCCGTCAACTCTTTCTAGCTATAAGTTTCTTAGAAGAAATGTGGAACTCATTCTCTTTTTCTCATTTTTCTCTTTTTATTCACTAAACAAGCTTTGAATTACCCTCTTCCAACTGTAAAAAAACAAAATCTTAAAAATGGCACTTACAAATTAAACTTTGTTGGTGATGCTGGTGACACACGCACTCCTGCTATATCCTAGTCTTTTCTTAAAACAAAATTTGATGATTCTAATATAAGAATAGTATACAATGTGCTCTGAAATTTTTTTTTATAAAAATTTTCCTGGGAATGAATAAAAAAAATATGAAAATTGTTTTATTATATTAATAAAATTTTTGTGAAGTTCCAAAATAAAAAAAATTCCTTTCTTTTCAAAAAGAGATTAAAAATTATGGTCCTAGTATGGAATGAAGGTATGCATTTACGCTACTCGACTTGGTTGAGAATAATAGTAGAACATCTTTCTGAGGTACGTGTACATCAGAGTTGAAGTCATTACAAAAACATGAAACATGACGTGATTCAGTAATTTTCTTAAGATTTAATTATACATTTTTCGTCTCTGTTACAGTTACCATATGTTTTTGGTCGTTTAGTACATTTGTTTTTCTTGAATTTATTCTTTTAGTTTTTAATTATAACAGCTAAATCTTACACTCAAAATCCACAAACAAAATCTTATATTTTTTTCAATTTTTTTAAAAAAATCAACATATTTGAAAATTTAATTTCACACCCTATAATTTTTTTGAATTTAATCAAAATTTTAACTTCTGACTGTTTAAATTATTTTTTATTTTAAAATTTATTTTATACCTATTATTATTTAAATAAATCACAAATATTTAAATTTTATATGTAAAAAATTAACATAACGACATGATTCTAACGATAAAAAAACAAGAAATTAAATTCGAGTGAAAATGATTGAAAGAACAGAATTTTACATTGATCATCAAAAAGGTATAAAATATAATTAAGCCATTTTTAATTAAAAAAAAATACTTTTATGTAAATGCCACTATGCTAAACAAATTTAGACCCCTGAATTTACAAAAAGATATATATACTATACTATACTTGAATATATGTACGTGTGAGTCTCTCTCTCTATATATATAACACAAATGGTCAAATTGTTTTCATCTAATCGATCAACCTGCCGTTGCGTAACTAGTTAACATTGTAGGAATGCACGAAGGAGCTTCTGAACTTTGGGACAACCATTTTTTAATAATCTTCGTATTTCCTTTATTTATTTGGTCCACAATCTGGCTATCTTCGGAGTTATACTTGTTGTACCACAAAAATTGATTAGTGGGACACTTTCAACCAAAAGTTTACGAGTTGGCCAGTAGTCCAATTATCCAATCAGATATCTAGTCCCGTTAGCTCCCACCAAAGCTGAGCCACAAACGCATTATTACACTCCAAGATTTTGAGCAAATGTTTGGTTTTAGTCATTTAACCAAACATATATGCCATTCTCATCAAAGCATCTTTTTTATCCTCGTCTTCTAGGCCGAACAATGTCGCATCCGTTATGATTGATAATATGGTAAAGTTCATGTCAATTGTTACATCATTTGGGTAAGTACAGATCAAACATTCAAAATCACTAACTATCAAACAGCAATATGTTAGTTTCATACACTAACTATACATTAATTTTTTCTTTAATCTGTTTTTATCGGTTAATGAACTGAAAAATTTTGAACAACTATGTTTTTGCGTTTATTGTGCAAGTATAAACAACTATGCCAGTGTGTATGGAATTCGAGAAAAAAGAACAGATATCTTCATTATATCTTCGCCAGTTCTTCTAAAACTATATCAATGTTGAAAACAAAATTGATGAACACCTGTTATTCTAAATGTTAACGAGCTAAATTTTCTTCACACAGATTTTTGATTTAAATCTTTTTTACAAAAAAAAAAAGAGTGAAATTACGAGTACCATTGGATCACTTGACTCAAATTAGTCTAGACTCAATTTAGCTTCCAAACATCTCATTGAGAGTTTAGATCCTAGAAATAATGAGAAAGACAAGTTTGAGCACATTTCCCTTCTTAGTTTACTTATAAAATTTTCCTATCAACCAACATTTTATTCTAGATTTCAACTATATATCCTTGATTTTCTCAAGTTGGTATTCTACACTACGTTAGTGTGTTAACCACTTCTCCTACCTGATCTCAGCTCCATGCAAAGGCTTCATCACGCCTGCATGGATCATCATCATTATCTCCTATTCTTTAGCTTGTTGATATGTATTATATATCGCGTACTTTGTAACAGCCTTATCTGTTTACCCTATTCATTCTCATGTACATCATTCAGCGAACATAATATACATTCCCCAAACCTTTATACAATGTATGGCGAACACAGTTTAACAAGTTACATTAGAAGTTCAGATTTTATGATATAAAAAAGGAATTAAAAACGGAATTTAAAAATAAAAGTTACTCTCCAGTGAAAGATGTTTTAATTTATTAATACATATTTGAAATTACGAGGTAGAACAGTAGAAATACATTTGCATCGCCACTGTCCACTTGAGGTGCAAAAGTAGTATTTGAAATAGTTAGAATCTTTTGAGTGCAGCCCATTTAAAATGAATATTTTTTAAATAAAAAATCAGAGAATATATAGTGTCCAATATTTATATTATAATAAGTTTATTCTGGAGGTAAATAATTATTTGACATATTTAATTTAGAAATGGCCAGTCGACTGCTTTTGGGCGCTAACGACTTTTGGGTTTTATAATAAGCATTTTTTAGACATTTGAAATTGATGTTAACAGAAAATATGCAGAAGGAAAAAGTGTTTTTATACCTCAATACCGTAATACAATACAAAGATATACAACAATAAAACAACTAAATTAGAAAACTGTGAAATAATAGTTAACTTAATTGATATGATTGCCAAAATTAAGCTATCACCCCTTCTCTTGGTAGATAGATGCCAACTTGAGTTTGCTTAAGAAATTTGTGCTTTGGTGAAATTATTAGCTGTTTAGTCAGTAGAGGAAACAAAAATCAAACAGATTGTGCTATTAGCAACATGGTGATGTATAAAATATCAATTAATTTCAATGGGCTTCAATCTTTCATAAAAAATATCATTATAGCACTTCTATTATTATAATAAAGTGTAGTAGCAAAAGAATGTATGAAACTCATATAAGCTAATAACCATTATAATCAAAGTAATTCAAAAGTAGTACTTGTAAAAACATGATATTTAGATTCTATGATAAAATGATGATCACGCTTTTCTTTTTGTTTCGCCGAGAAATAAGAATATTGTTAAAAAAAAAACAATAATTTGTTGTAGATCGAAGATCAGTTAGATCACCAACCCAATTAGCATTAAGAGTAAGTTGAATGCATACTCGGCTTGTGAGAGATAATAGTCATCAAAATTTTGGAAAAACTCAAGACCCAAAAAAATGTTATTAACTAATTAACTTACTCAATGAATTGTTTGACATGTGATTATATTGAAACTGCCTGTGTAAAAAATGTAAGTGTGGAAGCACGATGAAGAATGAGCGAGGCAAACAACTATGCAAAATGGATGTCTAAAGTCAAGAATTCCAAATTAAAAAACTCACTCTTTAAATATTTATTTGATCAATACTTAAAAAAAATAGAAAAAAGACAAAGTTATTTTGTCATGGAAAGATTTTTTTTCCTATTTAGGCCGATGGAAAGAGTATTATTTAAAGAGCATTGCTATATTCTTCTAAATATTCTTTTTTGAATTTTATAAAATATTTATTAAACAAAAAGCATATACATTTATCGTCTTAAAATTTTTTAATAATTTTATTTAATAGTTAAAATTATTTGTTGGTGTAAAAAGTAGGAAATTTTGAAATTATTCTGTATTTTTTACCAAAAAAAGAAATTATTCTGTTTTTTTTTTTTTGTCAATGATTCAAAATCTAATCAGTGTCAGATCCAAGACTTTGGGCTCGATGGTCCACCAGGGGTCCAGGGCCACAAGAAAAACATCCAGAAAGCGGTCCTGGCCTTCCAACATTTGGGGTGAGTGGTCCGTCATTGGAGATTGGGTCGAAAGTACAAAGTTGCTGGAACCCGCTTATGATTGGCTCGCCTTTCTCCAGATAGTCAGAATCTCAGCACGAAGATCACTAAAATAGTAATAATTAAAAATTGAATTTTTTTAAAAGTGCAACGCTGCATAGAATATAAAGTTATATAAAATAAGTTATCCATTAAATAACATTAAATTTCATAATTTTTAATAAAAACTCACTGTATAAAACTTTTTATCCTTTGCAACGTTGGACCTTAAAAATTTAAGATGCAATAGAACATGATTTTGATGACAGAATAATAATAGATGTAGCGAAATGACATACTCTGCCCTCGACAAGGTGCCTTTCAGTATTGATAGAACACCATTATAATATTTTAAAAAATGCCGAGCATTGCCAACGTGCGAGGCTTGGTACAAATTCTGAGTATCCAGAGGAAAATTCTAGCCTTTTACATGAGTGCAGATTCAAATCTCTTGATGGCCAGGAGCTAGTTCAGTAACTGCATCATTCAGAGGCCAGTTGAGCAAACTGCAAGTAGGTGAAAATGTTTGCAGTTCTAGTGGAATTGGGGAGGTTATCCCTTTCCTACCAATTCGTAAACCCAAAATAAAAATAAAATGTTGAGGTAACTACGCGAAAATGTTGTCATTCTTCTACGCAGCATAAATTCATGCTCTGGAATAAGTTACATCATAGAGTTTAGGTGACTGACAGTTAACTTCCGTCTAAGGCATATGAAGAATCTTCATCCAAAGGTATATCAGGAATTGTTTTTAAAATATTGTACCTTGGCGTAGTATAACATGCTGATAAAGAAATTAAAATCTATTTAGTAATGTATGTATCATTGCTCAGAATTGGGCAATATATGCGTAAAACATATATTCCCCTCCCATGGGGTATGCCTGGACAATCATACCTTGTGTCATTCTGGCTTTAATGTGCTCATGTTCTTCCAAGAGCCATTTTGGACCTTATGCTAATTGATAATTGCTTAGCAGTGATACACTAGTCACAAACCAATTACAACTTTCATGTGTAAGCTTACAACCATAAAAGGAAAAGCATATTCGAGTAACTTGTAAAGTAGTACATGCAAAACTACTGGAACAGCATTGTTCGAAGCAGCTGTGGCAGGTACTAGATGAACTGAAAGGATAATCCAATTGATCAATAAATATCACAAATTGCAAAATAACAAAAACTGTCGCTAATAATATGAAAGGAAGCGAAAACTTTCTAGGTTAGGTATTCACATAATAAATTAAACCCTTTTCAGCTTTCTATTGCAGTGATTGCTGATTGGTCCTGAGGTTTTCTTTTGTAATTTTGTTTTTCAGGAAAACCGCTGCTTCTTTACATCCCGAGCCAACTTAATTATGCCACTATTAGTTAATATATGTGATCAACAACTGCTCAGTAATACACAAAATACCCATTACAAGTATGTTAATTTAACATTCCAAAGTTGTGCACTCTTTACATTTTAACCATTAGCTAGGCTTAGACATATAAACATCCTCTGCGTGAGCACTTAGAAAATAGCAGTGATAATTTCATTTGCAACAACACATTGATAGTGAGACATGAATCAGCATGCAAAAGATATCATAATTGAATAAGGTGAGGTGAAAGTTATCAACTATACATTCACATATCAGGTCACCCCATGGTAGCCACAAGACTTTTGAGCAAGCATCTTCCGCAAAACAGATATCTGAGGCTCACAGGTGGCCTGAAATGGAAGAATGTGAGTACTCCACAAGCCTATTGGATGTGATGGCTCATCAAGAGCCACACCAGAAATGCCATCCCTTGTCTAGAGCAAGAGAAAGGTGGCAAGCACCAATCATCTGTAGACATCTGGAAGCAACACCTATATGCCTCCTACGCAGCCCTGGAAAATGCAGGGGAAGCATTACTAGTATTGGCAAATGACATTGTTTATATTTCCAAATGATGGAGAACAGAAACATATAAGTACTACAAATGGTACATCTCTTATACGACATTGCTTGTATGTACAAAATTTAGACAGCAAAGAAAAGCTTCTTTGTTCTTTCTAATTAGAGATCTCTGAAATGAATGCAAACAATCTTTTAAACTCAGCTTAGGATGAAATATAAAGAAATTACGCAGACACAAGTCCCATAAAGCATATTAGTCTTTGAACCCCTATATAAATCAACATTTTGATATTCCACTTAATTTCAAATATTAGTCAGATCATCTCTGCCAAGTGTCTACAAAATCTAGAATTTAATAAAGGTTCTACAAAGGTCCTGGTGTGTGTCTACCAGAACAAGCCCAACAGGAATGAAGAGGATAGATGAACAGATTAACAAGAGATCAGATATGATCACTTATTCACAAAGTTTAGCATATACATTCACATCAAACTATATCGCTAAGTCATAAAACATAAATGAAGGATGGAAATATTTCATCTTTCTTCTTACAGTTGAATGAGGCTAAAGAACAAACTGTTAAGAAACTCTATCCCTGAGATAAAAGTATTAAATTGAAGAGAAAAAGATTTCCTGTCATCTGAAAGGAATGCTGTTTTCAGAAGAAATCAAGTTTCTTAGCTCCATTAAGTGTTCATCATTTGATATGTGGAGCGAAAGCCGGAGGTTGGTCATTAATGCTTCTTGTTCCCAACTTAAGGGCCCTGATGCATGCAATGCCTCAATTGTACAACGATAGGCATGCAACTCTAACCTATGGATTTCTTCTGCTAATTCCTCTTGTGTAGGAGGGGAACAGTTCCCTTCCTCATAACCCCTTCGGCAGACAGATTCAGCGTCACTAAATGTACTGTCTACATCTTCAAAAGGACCTGCAGATACAGGAAATTGCAATTTATAGGAATTCCTGCTAGTGACACTACAACTACCAACAGAGCATGTAACACTATCAGCATGATTTGAATCTATGTTTTCTCCAAATGAACAACCCACAGCGCCAGTTTGTTTCCTCCTTTCTATGTCCATATCAGATATCCCAGTTTTTCTGTTGTTTACAGAAGCAGGTCTACATTCTTCAGCGAGCACATCCCTTGGAAAACTGACACCCTGTACCTGTTTGAATGGTGTGGGTGCATTTCTGACTCTTGCTCTGTGACATTTGCCTTCATTCTCAAGTGCTCTAAACTTTGGGGGAGGTGCAGTGTATGCCTCAACTTGGGAATGGCTTCCTCGTTTCAATGTTTTAAAAGAAACAAGATGGGATTCCAGAGTATTCAGCTCTTTCTTTTCAGGAAGATTGGACCCTGACAGTTTTGTCTTTGTAGCTGTCTTCTGAAGTTGGGCACTAGAACGTTTTCTATTCTCACAGCTGGCAGAACCCTGAAAGATGGGAGAAGGTTAAATAACAATTCAACCATAAAACAGCATGGAAGATCCAGAAACAATAACACAAAAAAGTAAAATAAAATAAAAAATGAAGAAACTCGCGAAAGCTAAAGAAAATGAAAATGAAAGAGGAAAACTGAAGAAACTTTGAAAGTAAGAAACCGGCAATATTGAAAGCATATGAAGACAAACAACCTAAGCTAATTCCCAATTTTTAAAATATTAATCAGTAGTTTTAGCAAACAAAATATATAGAATAAATTAAATTTGAAAAGCTCAATCTAAACCAACTCAACACATGATGGGTAACAGCATCCACATCAGTACACCCAACGGTACTTGGCAACTGCTAAGGCAAACTGGGGGGGAAAAATCAGAAGGCAAAATAAAGGTACCTTTCCAACTACAATCCAGTGGTCATCTTGCCACGATTTTCTAACCCGGATGTCAAATTTGCTCACTTGAAATTCCAGAGAAGATCCAAGTAGCCTGACTAAAAAGTACTTTTTCCCCAAAGCCTTCAAAACTGTAGCCATCTTCCACGAGAAGTTCTGGAAGACCTCTACAACATCACCTGGATTCCAATACTCGGCAAGCTCAAGTGCAGGTGGACATGGCCTTATGTCTTTCCTGGACACCCGCTCCACAGTTGCCTCACCAGCAGCACCTTCATATCTAACAGTGTAGTTGTGGCCGTTACCACAAATGATCTCTGCACATTGCCAGGAGCCACAAGGCACCTCAGCTTTGTTTAATACTTCCACCTTGGTCCCTTTCTTGAATCTCATAGTTTCCTTAAAATTTCAACCTCAAAACCTGCTATTCAATAGCATAAATCCAAATAAGAAACAGGACAAAAATCAATATAAGATAGTTGTCAGCTATTAAGAATCAGAACAGAATAGGAAAAAGATCCAAAGCTAACCACAGTAAAAATGAGAAGCCATGGAATGGATGATGATAACAATCAATAAATAATAATAATGACATATAAACAAAAGAGAAGCCAGATAACAGGTAACGGTAATAACAAAAAAATTATTACAAAACTCTTACATTGAATTAATTCAGATCTTGACTTCTAAGACCAGAAAAAACAACTAGTTTTGATGCAGTCATAAAGTGATCAGAAAAAATAAAAACAGAGAACCAAACAAAGCTAAAACAGAACTCGTTTAAAGTTTATGTTCAGAATAAACAACGATACGGAACAGTATAATTTAAAATAAAAACGCAAAGATACAGAGAGAGAGAGAGAGAGAGAGAAACAAACCAATCAGTCACGGCAAAGTACAATTGATCAGATGAAGAACAAATGCCATTAAACCGATTTCATCTCATTTGAATGCTAAACCCGATCGACAGTGCTTTACGCCAGTGATTTGCTGAGTTTCAAGGTTCTTTCTTTTTTATTATTCTGGTGTCTCTTTAATTCTCTAAAATTCATTTTGTGAAATATTATAAGGGGGAAAAAACTCATAATTACTAAATCGGTAAAACAAAACCATAGAGGAGAATTTTGATTATGTTTTCCCTATTTTCTCAGCAACAAAACAAAGAGCAAAAGAAACAGCAACAGCAAATCGTGCAGAAATTTGAAATTGAAAGCTCATTGACAGAATATTAAAATAATAATAACAATTAATTAATTAAGCAGAGATATGAAGAACAGAGAAAGTGAATAAGTACATGAAACGGCAATAGGAGAAGAAGGGAAGAGAAGAAAATTCACTGACCTTGTTCCGATTCAGAAGACGATCTTTTCGTCTCTGTGATTTTCACTCTCTCCTTGTTATTGTGATTGCGGTTGTTGAAGAATTTTTCCTTTTTGTTTTTATTTGCAAAATTATCATTTTCATTGAGTGTTTCCTATTGATTTATTTAAATTTAAAAAAATGGATTTAATTTATTTTTAAATAAGGAAGCTTAATATACGAAGTTGAATTTTGATTGCCAAGCTGCCAACTGCCCAAGAATAGCTTGTTGAGGTGGGAATTAACTGTTACATCTTATTGTAAACATTCCTTGTGTCATTGATCCTCTTTCTTGTGTGTGTTGCTCAAATTCATATATATATATATATATGTAAGAAAAATCATATTAAATTTTATCCCTAGTATATATACTTTTTAATTTCAAATTTTTTAGGGTGCAATTCAAATTTCAGTTTCAAAAGAATAACAGTCTGATTCTATCTCTGACTTTTCCTTTATCTCTACTCATATTCTCTATTTTTTGCAAAAATAAAATCTTCCACTTGAATTTTTAGACGATGAAAAACTAAAAATAAAGGATAAAATTTCGCAACGAGATAATGGGATAAAAAAATACTATCATATCCCGACGTTATTTGATTTTTTTTTTAAAGTTATTTGATGGGTTAATTACTTAATTTTACATTAATGGTGTAAGTACAGTTTCACCGCCGTCTAAAAGATTGTTATTATTATTTTTATATATTTTAAAAAATTAAAAAGGATTTCAAACTTGGGTAAGGAAAGTTTAGGCAAGAGATAAGCTAATTATAAACATGTTTATAGGAATTTAATATATGGTTCTATATAATAAAAAAAAAATAGAGAGAGAGCGAGTTAATATTTATTTTAATAATAATAATGCTTTTGAAATAAATAGTTTTCAAGTAAGAGATAATACAATAAAAGAATATTTCTTGGTGCTTGCTAAAAAAATAATATAAAAATATCTGTTGTTAGTCAGAAAAATATTTGGACCACCAAAAAATTTATACCTTAAATATAAATTAATTTATGTTTACTAAATCTGAGTTATCATTTTTTAAAATATATTTTTATAATTAATTAATTAATTTTATATATAATTTGTAAATAAATTTTAAAATCAACTACTTTTTAGAATATTTTTATAAATAACTTTTAAAATTAACTACTTTTTAGAGTATTATCAAATAAGAATATTTTAAAAAATATTTTTAATTCAAAATCTTGAATTCAAATAATAAGTGATTTGATATCGTTAAACAAAAATTTAAATTTAAATTTAAATTTTTATGTATATAAAATTTTTTTCATGATAAGTAAACTCATTCACCTAATTCATATATGAAAAATTAGAATTATTATTTTCTTAACATGTTAAATATATTTTCTACATTATATATTTATTGTTCGATGTATAAAAAACTGATAATTTTTTTTTATATTACACCATTTATATTTTTTTTATATTAATATTTTGAATTTTAATTTTTTTTTAAGATTCATTTTATAGTTTCAAAAAGCTTATATTTTTAATTATAAAACCTTGTGTTTAAAAATAATAATATAATATAAATTTAATTTTTTATTTTTAGAAAATTTTTAAATTTAATAATGCACACAATATATAAAACTTGCTATTATATTATTGTTCATAAATAACCTGTTTAATTATAATGGTATTTTTTGAATTATTTTGTGAGTAAATCTACTGCACCTATCTCTGACTCTTTCTCACTCATTCTACCGTTTATTGCCCGCAATTTTATAACTAGTAAGCTGCATTTAGATATTATAGTAAAGGTATTTAATATTTATCTGGTGCATTGAAGTTCAGATATTAAACTCTTTAAATGCGGATGAGATGAGTGTATCTCAAAAACTGCATTTTAAGAAATATGCTAATAAAGAACTTAAACAAAAATAAAAGCTTCTTTTTTTTTTCAAAAAATAGGATCAAATTCATTCCTTAATAAAGTATATCTAATTTTACAAAAGTCATAAAATCCGCATAATTAATCGTCAATTATGATGAATGATGATAGTTTTGGTAGGGTTTGAAACAGTTTTATGCACTATATTTATTTTAATATTATAATTAAACAGCGTTTGAATTAATTTATATCGTAATTTTGATTAATCCATTTCTTCAATCTAATTGAAATTGAAATATGTACACAATCTATTGGTTTTCTTTCTCTCAACAATGGCAACTCATTAAGTTTCGACCTACAATTTCTAGCAAATCATTCAAAGTCAAGAGGCCCCCAACAGTCTAAAAATCACGATATAGTTATTTATTTATCTATTCTATGGTCCATACTTGTCTAATCCTATGCATTAAAAAAATTATTCTTACTGTTCTAGTACAACACATACATTTCTAATTAATACTCCCCCTTTTGAGAGTTGAGATTCCTGAGCCCCAGTCCATCTCTAATTTATATCCCTTTAAGACAATATTTACATTTTTCGATGCTGTGAATTCCCCCTGAAAAAACTGAATTTTTTATCGTTCTTCACAAACTCTTATAATCACATGGCAATTAGTACCTGTGCTAATTTTGATAAAATGTGAAAAATATAAATTTAAAATAAATTAATTTATAACAAATTAAACTATTAAAGAGATTTACATAACTAATTTTAGTAAAATTTAAAATCATTTAAATTTAGAAAATTAAAATGCCATATATATCGTTCCTTAAAAATTAATACAAATCATGATATTTCACCATTTTCAAATCAAATGAGTTGACATTAATTTAATGATGAAAATGGTTATTTTACTTATATAATTTATTTATGCTTTATTGTTTATCATATTTATTATTATTTTTTTATCCTTTTTTTATATACTTATAAATTTTATCTCTTTCTTTATTTCTATCACATTACTTATTAAATTTATAATCTTTCTTTTTTCCATTTATTCTCTCTCAAAATACATAACTAGAAAAGTATGAAAAAAAAAACATTCATAAAATTTATTTAAAATTAATCATATTTAAATAATCTTAAAAAAATTAAAAAATACATTTATCTTAAATTATGATAAATATTGGTCATGTAAAATATTAATAATATTTCCTATATTGGTTATAAATATACAAACACGTTATTTTAATAGTTTTAACAAGACTTTAAAATAATAATTGAATAAAATGTTCAAAAGTGCATGCACCAATGAAAAAGGTTAAAAAATTATCATAACATTTTTTGAGTAATTAATTTTTTTATTATAATATATAATTTATTGGTTTTATTATTTTTTAATCTTATTCTTATGAATGCTAAAATATTTTATTATTTTTCAATCAATTTGATGTTTTGAGAAAAGCTCATCAATCTAATTCATTTGTGCACATTTAATCGGGTATATTGTATTGGATGCATAAATTAAAAGACATTAAATACACACATTTTAACACTTTTAGATATCAAATTAAAAAAATAAATTATTTAAAATTTTAATTTAAATATAATAAATATTTTTCTTTGAATTAAAAAATATATTTTTCTACACCTATATAGTTGATGTATAAGATATAAAACTTGTTAATAAATTTATTAAAAATTTCCTTTTTTTTTAATTATTTTAGAGTAGTATGATATTATGTCATTAATGAAATAATAATATGAAATTAAGATTAAATAATGAAAAAAATGAATATTCATGTACTTACCTTAAACAAGTTTAACCAATAATTAAAGTTAAATCAAAATCCTATTTTTTTATTTTCATGTCAAGTGTTTACCTATAACAATGCTTAGACATTACTTACTAGAGAAAAAAAAAAAAAAAACAGAGAGTGCCTCATCGTCCACTGTAGAAGGTAGGAGAGAAAGAACATCAAAATATTATCTCTCATGACTCCTTGTTATGGTTATGGATCTGTTGAACAACGATGATTTGTCTAGGAGATGGAAAATTTCCTGTACAAGTTGTTGTTGGACCTAACAAATTCTGAGCATCTTAAAAAACTCTCCTCTCTCTACAACCTCAAATCTCGCCACAAGAATTAATCGGATTTGTTGGCACATAAGCTATATTTAGGTCAAATGCAAGAATTGGAAAGCCACCTTTTGTTTGGCTTCACTTCCAAATGATCTTTCTTTGCATCCCATTGTTCACCAGCAGGCTAATGAATCACTTAGTATTATTGGTACGTATGGTAACGTGCCTCCATTGACAAATAGCTTAGATTTAGAACCAACGTTTGGCTCTGTGACGTATTTAGCATTTAAAAAAGTGTTGCATTTGTATACTCATGATTTGTTTGCAACTAAGGTATGTTGATCTAGCAACGTTGACATATATTTGTTCTTGGGGCAAACAACTAAAGAAAGCACTTCTTAACAAATAAAAAAAAAAAAGCACAATAGCATGATCCTTATGTATCTTTTCACACTTCAAAATAAAGATAGAAATGAAAGTATTGTTGCCATGTTTTTGAAAAAATAAGGGTGTGAGAGATTAAAAATTTAAAAGCATGTTTAAGTTAGGATTGTTAATTTTTTACTCAAAATTTTAATATTGAAGTAATTTATTTTTATTAGTAATTAACAATGTGAGTATTTTTGTTTAAAAGAAATGCCACTTATATTATCAAATTTCAAATTCATGCCTCATCCTTAAAGTTGTTGTACAAAATGTTAGTGCTTTTTTGTGCAATTATCAAACTTACTCACAACCTCTTCAAAGTTGACATCAACACATCTACCTAGAAGAAGAAACAATGGTCTACATGAGAGATGTTAAGTAGAGTTGATATTGCAGCACAATAAAGGTTGTTTAAGGAAAAAAAAAAGAAGGATAAGAGAGAGAAGGAGAGATGAGCAACTCTAACATTGTAAGAAACAATTGCAGCCTAAAATATGAAGATTAGATATAATTGTTGTAACTTAAATTATCATTATCTTTGTTCATTACTTATATATATCTATAAGTTTGATATAATTATAAATTTATTGGAGCTTACCCAACCCACTGTCCTTTTTACTAATAAACAAGTTTAATGAAAAAGTAGTAAGTGATTTGTGTGGTTTAAATTTAAAATTTAGTATTTATATTTAAAAATTCTA